AGATGCACTTGCATCTTTCAACAATAGGGGAGGAGTAAGGTCTTAATTTGTTGAAATGATGCAAGTGATTTGTAATAGCCTGGAGAAAGAGCTAGAGAGTTTTGGAGGCTAATGGTGCCTAACGCCAATGGGTGTGGGCATAGGAATTCCTCATCCCTCATGGTTAAAGAGAAGCAAAGCATTTCTAGGGCCAATGATTTTGCTAGGAATTGTGAGATTGATTGTACCTACTGTATGTAGCATTCCTACATTCCTTTGTAACCTCCTACAAATGAAAAACCTTTGATTATATGAAAAGTAGCATGTTTAGAAAAAAGAAATAGGAGAGCAAGAAACAGATACTCAGAACAAAAATCTCAGAAGAGAGAAGTAGCCATAGGGTCAGCACCTGTAACACTGTTTCATTTGTCTGGCTGACGTCCAGTTTCCAACGGGGGGGCGGGGGGGGTTGGTGGTTAAAATAGTAATGACCAAAGTGTAGGAAGATTGGAGCTTTCTTCAGAAAAAGAAGTGTTACCATGACCAAAATGAGACTGATTTAGGAAATTAATTTTTTGTGAGGTTCCTGAGTTTCTCTTAAATGCTGCTTGCTTATAGGGCAGAAGATAAGCAGAACTATTTCCCACCCCATCACCATGCTTGGGCTACCCACTCGCAACCCAACAATTCTGGCTTCCTGCCTTAGCCTCAGGGACTCAGAAGTAGGTTACATAGATTATATAATGCTACCTTAGCCTTGTCGAGGAAAGGACACATGCATGACTAATGCAGTTCACTCGATCCTTTTATATTTGCTCTAATAAATTTGTATTCTGAATGAAATTTGGCATGAAGCAAAATGATACAGAGTTGGAGACACAGAGAGGGATGCAGATGGCTCAAATCCTTCCTCCTCTCCCACGTAGATGCCAATATCCATGGGCGAAAGTGTGACAACTAGGAACAAAGAGAACGTTTGTATTTGCCTCAGTAGAGAGCACTGAAATGGAGTTTTAGAATCTGCTGAACCACTTTACCCTGTAACTTCTCATGATGGGACATTATGTTCCTACAAAGTTGCCCTATTACTTGGACTTTTTTTTTTAATATTTAAGGAGAATTATAATAAAAGCAGTTTAATGTAAGATTTGTCTATTCAGATTTTTATTAACAATAAAAAAAGTTGCCTAAATGTTCAATTTGCCATGTATTCTTAAAATATTTGAAAAATACTGATGGCAAAAGAAAGTCATTGAAAATATGAGAGTCTGCAAAATTAGATTTGTTCCTATTAATTTTCTAATTAAGTAAAGGTGAAAATTGTAAGTTTTATTCCAGAGAAAGAAAACATAAAGAAGGAAAAATGAAGGCAAGGAAGGAGGGAGGGAGGGAAGAAAAAAGAAAAAGGGAAGGACGGAAGGAAGAAACCAAGAAACAGGCATTTACTGAACACCCACTAGGATTCAAAACCATGTGAGGCACTTTTATTAAGCGTTCTCCCTGTTTTGTTCATGTAATCCTCACTACTACTCTATGGACCCCATTGTATTTCTGGAGGAGAAAGCAATAAATTCAGTCAGATTACGTTTGACATTTATGACATGACATAGATGCTAGGAAGACAACATAAATCCTCCCACAAAATTTGGCACAGATATTGCTCCATAGGAATTTTCTTTCAAAGGCTTGCTTTTGATCCATAACCATTACATTTCCTGGCACTAGATACTGCTCTGGCCATGGAAAGGGGAAGCTCTGTAGATTGGCCCTCATCCAAAGTAAGTGATGAGTTTGGCTGTTCGCAGTTAAGTGCAGGATTCTGTCTGCTTTGGCAACATTACCTGGGTTCATGTATAATGCTGTTACAAAAAGCAATCCTGAAGTAGTTTTGCTGGATGACCTTCAGGTAGGTTTAAAAAAAAAAAAAAAAAAAGAGAATAGTCTGACACCTTTTAGCCTTGGTCTGGAAGTGATTCAGGAAGAAGAGTTAGCAATAGAAAGAAAAATTGGAGGGGTGCCTGGGTGGCTCAGTCGGTTAAGCATTGGCCTTGGGCTCAAGTCATGAGCTCAGGGCCTTGGGTTCTCAGCAGGGAGCCTGCTTCTTCCCCACCCCCCACCCTGATCCTGTTCTCTCTCTTTCTCTCTCTCTCTCATAAATCAATAGAATCTTAAAAAAAAAAAAAAAAAGTTTAGAAAAGGGAAAGAAAATTGGGGACATTTGCTATGTAACTATAGGAGAAACTTTGTGAAGATTTCTGAATATTTCCTGTGCTTAGAAACAGGACGAAACATGGGCTGTCATAACACCTTCTTTCCAGGAAGCTTGAAATTAATCTGCTCCCTTTCTACAATTTTCTTGGTTACCTTTGCAGCTACCTCTTGAGGTCTTAAACCATTCCACTCTCCCTAAGAAACCGCAGTGTTAAGTACCTATTGTAAGCAAGAGAGTTTGAGCTCACAGTCAATTACATATAGCTTCAAAGCAGTCTGCCAGTCAAAAAATAGGCACTGTGCATTTCCTGTGAAGAGTTAGTAGATGAAATTAAAAGATTACTAGATAATCAAGATTAATGACAGATCTACCAAAACAAACAGAAAACAAGATTGTGTATATTCTTTACTATCTTTGTTTTGTTAGATCTTCATTGATGTATTTATTTTAGGCAACTTGCTTTGGGTACTGTGGTCACTGGTCACTGGCTCACAGGTGTGGAAGGTAGCAAAAGGACAAAAGGATGGACAGAGGAGATGGAACATGAGACTAGAAAAACAGCATGGCTAAGTGGATAAAATGAGACATGAGAGCATCTCAGACCTGAAATTAGCTTCTTTTCTTTACTGAATTAGTCACAGTATTAAGACTGTCAAAGAAGTAGGTAAAAATGACAAAGGCTCTGTAGCAAGTTGTTTATGAGAATGACAATGTAGATCGCAATATTTATGGGCTGTTTTTGAAGGTAGAGCCCTGTCTAGGGCACTCATTTTTTTTTTTTTAATCCTTATTAGTCTGTTATAATTCGTTGATAGATTGCAGCTCAAAAAATATGTTTGGAGCAGTTTACCCCTTGGATATGCATGTTCAGAACAGTCTGATAAAAACGAAATTAGTCTTCAATGTTTATCTTACATTTGGGACACGAAATACACGGTCATCTTCTGCCACTACAAAATGGGGCTTGCTAAGTAGTTATGTCGGCTTCATGCCACAGCTCCGATACCCAAACAGCTGTTGACTTTGGGGTCACTGTGCTCATAATTAGCATTAGCAGCCACCTGGTAAATTAACACATTTCGGTCATGGCCCAGATAACCAAAGAGCTAGACTTCCAATAGCCATCATTATCTTCAATAGTGATTCAGACATTTTAAATACTCTTTTCCACCCACTAAAAAATATCAGTCTGCCTTTTTTTTCTTTTCTTTCCTTTTTTTTTTTTTTTTTTAAGTAGACTTTATACCCAGCGTGGGGCTTGAACTCACAACACTGAGATCAAGAGTCAAACACTCCATCAAACAAGCCAGGTCCCCATATGCCCTTCTTAATAGAAATTATTTTTGGTAGAAGTCAGACCATGACTTTTTAAAGGAAAAACTAGAGAAAATGTGTAGATTTCTCAAATGATGTTGCCTACCGTGTGTTATATAATCTTTGTAACAACCCTTTAAGTAGCATCCATTTTAATGTAAATAAATCTCAGAGATTTTAGATGACATATAACAGAATTACTGATCTGGTATTTTAAGTTGCATCTTCAGGGGTGCCTGAGTGGCTCAGTCAGTTGAGCACCCAACTTGTGATTTCAGCTCAGGTCAAGATCTCAGGGTCATGAGATGAAGCCCTGCGTTGGGCTCTGTGCTGAGCATGGAGCCTGCTTAGATTCTCTCCCCCTGCCCCCTTCCAACCACACACACGTGCCATCCAAATAAATAAATAACTATTAATTAAATAAATTGCATCTTCAAAGCCTAAATATGCATACTCGAAATGCTAGAAATCTAATTATTTCAGTCACTGCTTAATGTGATCAAGGATATCCTTGCAAATGGAGCAGTGTTTTCTTCAGTGCTCTGTATTCAATAGGCTAAACAGATTGTGGTATATGGTCCATTAGGAGAAAATCAGAGCATGTGGTTCCCAGGATGGTTTTGTTGCTTTTACATTTTACTTGATGAACTAAAATAATGAACATATTTTTATGATTCAGTTTAGTTTTTTGCTGCTATGTCAGTCCCACCCAGATTGACTACCAACTCGGGTCTTATCACTACAGTCCTCACGTTTGTCATGGGCTTGCGACTCTGAATATAAATGGAGACTGTGATCCTGTACTACTCAGGACTTCAATTCACAGAAACACACAATCCGGTTGCATCCAAAACAGGAGTAATTCTGTTGCAGCAGAATCTACCACAGTTGTATGGATAGGACAGACCACCCAGTGGAATTTCATACTTCTACTCTTAGATAGTCACACAAAATTTCCATCTTTAGATTAGGTGGTTGGTTAAAGGAATGCTTACATCTTACATATGCATTTAAATATAATTTTGCTGACTTGTTTCAGAAAGGGGGAAAAACCCATTTGAGAAAGGGGATAAAAACCATTTGGACAATACTTACTTTTTGACTGTGTTATTTCTTTTTTTCTTTGTTTCTTTCTTACTTTTTTTTTTTTTTTAAATTAAGTAGGCTCCAACATGGAGCCTAGTGCAGGACTTGAACTCACCAACCCTGAGTCAGTGACTTAGTCGACTGAACCACCCAGGTGTCCCAACTGTGTTAGTTCTTCTTAAGCAGATTGTTCATCATCTTCTGTCTTAAGTATGGTTTTCCTATAGTTTGTTTATGTCGATGGCTCTTAACTAAGTTATAACATGTTTCCAAAAAGCAAATGGATTTGGAACTCTTTCTCCTTATGTTTATATTAGGCTTTATTTTAAAGGCAAGTGAGACTGCTTTGAATAAAACAACTCCAAGCTTCCAAGAAACAGTTGAGAAGGCAGAGACAAGCAGAAATACCCCTTCACTAACACTCACACGGTTGCCATGGACATGCATAAGCAGTGGGAGAACACAGAGGCTAACTGGCACAAGGAAAAGATGGAATTACTGGACCAGTTTGACAACGAAAGGAAGGAATGGGAGAGTCAATGGAAAATCATGCAGAAGAAGATAGAAGAGGTACAAATTGATTTGTTTTGAATACGTTGAAACTGAAAGCTCAGAATGAAAATTCTGTTTGAGATTCTGTTGTACTGGAAACTATTTCTGTTTTCCTTATTCTACCTAAGGGATGCACATTGAGTCTCAATGACATTTACTAGACCAAAAATAGCAGAACCTTATCCAGTGGTATTGAAGAGACTAGGTGGTTTGTTTTTTTTTTAATATAACCCTGAATGAAAATTAAGAACTTAAATGTCACTCTAAAATGTAGCAATTTGTTATTTTCTGACTAAAGTGACTTGGTATAAAAAATGAGTTGTTTAAAAAAAAATGAGTTTTGGTTATTGTTTTTGTTTTTGCATGAATTTTCAAGCACAAGGCCCAGGAGGAAAATGTAAGAAAAATGTAATTTGTGGAACATATATTAGCAAAATTACAATTGGGCTTTAAAATACAGATCTTTCCTGAAATGATTTATGAATCATGTCTACTAAAGGAAATTACATATTAGATAATTTAGCATAATGGAAAGGAGTGTCGTATATCAAAATGGCGGTGGACATGATATTTATTCTGGCAGAATGTGCCACATTTATTGGCACATTTGTTAAGAAAAGGGTTTTGAAAAACAACATGTCATGACTCTGACACAAATAGTCATTTTATCCCCATTAACCATCCCTCCCTGTTGGCCCGGGAATACTTCCTTCAAGTATTTACATTGATGTATTTTTGAGCTGGTTTCAACTGAAAATTATTTCTACTTATCTTGCTTTCTTCTAGTGCCATCCATGTTGTCATGTGGTTTGTGCATGTTGCCAAAGTGATACTTTTAACAGACTCCTTGGCCTATATTCACAGGCTATCAAAGCTGGTGCTTTATGTGTTTATAGTATAAATATTTTTCTTATTAACAACCGTGTAATTGCTTGTGAATAAAATATAAATCGGCACACTACAAGGGAAAATGTAAAAGAGTAACTATTCAACTCTTCCTGTAGCAGAGCTGAGAAGGCAGACATGTAGTGTGCTCATACCTCTGTAGTTTGGAAAGGATGTTTTGCTTATTCTCTTAACTCCTCTTTATCCAAAGACTAAGGGTGGATGAAAACAAGGAGATGTCAAAGTCAAATCAGAATCCAAAACTCCAAACAGAAACCTGAAGTCATGGGTCATTGCTTCCCAAAGGCTTGGAAGACCAGATAATTCTAACATCTAAGCAAAAAAATAAAAAATAAAGAAATTAAGGAGTCAGGATTAGTCTAGCCAATTGTTTAAGCAATAGAGCTAAAATAATCTGCCGTCTGGTGAGACATTTTATTGTTGTATTGTCAAATAATTATTCTCACAACTCTGAAGATTCTATCTATGGTAAATATTAGCCTTTTTGATGAGCAGTCATTAAATGTGTTTTAAACATAGGATGATAGTTTGTAGAAATACTGTTCTTTCTGCATCAAGGAGATAGAAGGCTTTAATATTTTTTCTTCATCTTGGATAGTAGCCATGGTGCTATTTGTGTCTTGCCTGAAATATACAGCCCCACTACTGGGAGTATTTTGCATAATGTGTTTTCCCAGAATACCCATAGATAAAGTTCTTTCATACCTGAATAATAGCATTGTACTCCCTTTATCATACTAATACATATTTCTTTTCCACTACCAGCTTTGTAGCCCATAAGGATGTACCTTTAATATATCCGTCTTACAGGCTACAAACGAGGGTAGAAAAATTTGAGGAAAACAGGAAGAAAGTATCCTCACATGTCAGAGAATCCAGAATTTTTTAAACTAAAATTAAACATCAACATTTGAAAAAAATTATAACATTCCGTGAGCATAATAGACTGTATTTGTTTAACATATATCACTAAATTGTGCGTATTAAGTCGGACACAAGTTATTAATCCACGTACTAGAGAATTGTGGGTTCCCAAATGTGCACATGTGATTTGGTTCCAAGAGATATCTTCCAGTGGGAGGATCCAGTGTTGAGTGTTAAGATAGATGCTAATGGCTCTTTGCTCAGCCACTATCCACAATCATTGCACTGCTATTGCCAAACCCAGATGTACATGTTATTGCAAAACCCAGATGTATTTGGAAACCTGGAGTAATCCAGATAGAAGCCCTACATAGAGGTCTTGGTTTCTGGAATTCTTTCTTTCTTTCTTTCTTTCTTTTTTAATCACATTGCAGTCTTTTCTGTTTGTCACCTTTGTTCAAATGATCAGAGAACCATAAACAAGTGCTGAGTATGAAGTAACACAGATTTTCTTGTACAAAATAACTTTGTTTTCTATCAATAACGTATTATTTGCTTATCTGTACCTCATTTAAATCCTAAGAGAATTTAAGATGGTATATAAAATGTTACATAAATTTTACATAAAGAACAAAATAGAACAAAAAGATGAGTTGAAGACAGGAGGAAGGATCTCATGTGAATTACATGCAGCAAGTCTATCTTTGTAGTAACATAAAAATTAGAAGTTGCATGTTTCTCAGTATTCAGAAGACAAAGGCAAACCTGTTTCCCAGGAATAGTACTTTTGTCCCTGATTTTGAAAATAAGACAATTTTGTTTTTACCCATAGCTCCTTAAAAAGCAGACAGTGTCACCATAAGCATCCTTAGATTTAACATAAAATTTTGAGGGTTGCTTTGTATCAGATCTCTCAAGGTCGGCCCAAATCATAATGCCCACAAGAGCTCAGAATAAGTAATTTGATGAGGACAAAAATGACTGCTCCATGGCTATAATTTGATGCTATCCTGAGATCACCCAATGATAGATGTGTATCTATGGAAATATATGTACTGTATAGACTTCAGCCAGCAACTCAGCATAGTGCTTCTCTCTGAGATGTGAGTAAATATTGAACAGCAGTATTGTCCTCCTTGAATAGATATAGGTTGGGGCCATAAAATGTAGTCATTTGCTTAGTTATTTGAAAAACTCCTTTGAAATTTGCCAAGCTTTCCCACAGCTCAAGCCTAAAGAGGAAGGCCACTTACTTCCTATATTTAGGGGTGAGTTGTGTAAGTGCCTACAGGTTAAACTAAACTCTCATCAAGAGATAATTTAGGATCCACTTTAACATAGACTAATAAAAGATGGAAGCCTTAGCGTTCTCATATCACAAAGGACAGGTCACATGTGTTTTAATCGGGAGAAGAAATCTTTTTATTTTTTAAGATTTTATTTATTGATTTAACAAATAGACACAGCAAAAGAGGGAACACAAGCAAGGGGAGTGGGAGAGGGAGAAGCGGGCTTCCCGCAGAGTAGGGAACCCGATGCGGGGCTTAATCCTAGGACCCTGGGATCATGACTTGAGTTGAAGTCAGATGCTTAATGAGAGCCACCCAGGTACCCGAGAAAGCTTTTTGGGGGGAGAAAAAAAGTCTCTTCTTAAAAAAAAAAAAAAATCTCAGTGGTACCTAGTAATACCTTAGTAACACCAACATATCTTCCAATGGAAACATCCTTCAGCTGTACAATGTCCACTTGGGGAGTGGAATGAACTGGAACATTACATGATATTGTCAACTGTTTAGACACTTTGCCATTGGCATGCAAGTAGAATCATATATTTTTAAAACATCACTTTAGTATCAGTAAACCAGATTTTATTTATTTATTTGACAGAGAAAGAGAGATACAGTGAGACAGGGAACAGAATCAGGGTGAGTGGGAGAGAGAGAAGCAGGCTTCCTGCCAAGCAGGGAGCCCAAAGCAAGACTCAGTCCCAAGATCCCGGGATCAAAACATGAGCTGAAGGCAGACGCTTAACAACTGAGCGACCCAAGTACCCCTAACTGATCAGATTTTAGAAGCACTACTCAGAAGCATGAGCATTAATACCCCAGGGTAGTTAGTATATCATGATATGGCAAAGAGAACTCAAAATAGTGTGCTTGGTATGAAAAATATTGACCAAGTAAATTAGGAGGAGAAAAAAGCTTTATCTTTGTTTTCTTTGCAGCTTTGCCATGAAGTAAAGCTTCGGAGGAAAATCAACATGAATGAATGTGCTAAGATCATCAGTCATGATCGTGAGAAAGCAATTCGAGATAAAGTGCTAGAATCTCCAAATGACCCCATTTCAGGGCGATGTGAATTTACAGGGATAAATCACAGGGATGGTCTGGAGAAAGAAAATAAAACAGAGCAGAGCTTACTCTGTGAGGGAAATCAAATGTGTAAGGATCAAAAAGCAACAAAAAAATCACAAGTAGGGTTTATGGATCCTTTGGCCACAGAGAACCAAAAAGATTGTGAGGCCTGCCCTGGTCCGAGGACTTGGAGGGAAGAGAGCAGGAGGTGTTCTGGGGCCCTCAACTTGGTAAGTAAGACTGTGATTGGCCTAGAACTGTTCCTAAAGAAATATTTACATTTCAAAGCGCTAACGAGCTGTTGTTTGTATGTGTAAAGGCTCTTGAAGAACTTGCCAAAGTTAGTGAAGAGTTATGCAGCTTTCAAGAGGAAATCCGAAAGCGGTCCAACCACAGAAGGTGGGCTGATACATCTATGATTATTTTCTCTCAGAAAATCAAGACAAATATTGTTTTCAGTGAATGAATCCAAAGTGCCTCCTCTTCATACTTGGTTCGTGTGAATTAACCATGAGTTATTAAAGGGTTATCTTAGATAGGAGATAAAAACTTTAATTGAATATTTCTCTGCTTACTAATTCTTAAGCCAAATCTTCTCATTGTCTCCATAATTTGACTGTGAGGAATACTGCACTCTTTTGGTGTTAGGTTAAGGGACACTCTCCAGAATAATGTAACAAGTATCTTGTGTAGTTCTTTCTCATCTTGAGTGTTGGCTGGTGGACGAGTACACAGCGGGGCTAATCCAATTTAAAATATCTTCAGATTTAACGATGTGGACTTTTAATTATATAATGATGTTCTAGTGGAGTATTTAATACTTAAGTCATTTATTTCTCTACATTTACTATGTATATAATGGAAGCATACATAAATCAGAACAACCTATTGTAAGTATGCATACACACATATACAAAGAGATTAAATGGTGCTATTTCAGTTTAGAAGCACCTATATAATTATAAAAGTAAGTTTTCACCAAATTAAAAAAATAAGTTGGAATTGTCTACAAGGTAAGTAAAGATGGATTGTTCTAGGATCAACATTTATCTCCTAGTGAAGGAGTGTGTTCCTTTTAGAAACAGCAGCAGTGTTTCTCTTAGCTCTTAGGAATACCCTTAGTTCTCTTTAGCTCTTAGGAAGCTCAGAAAGAATTTTTGTATTGACTTACAATAGATTTTTTTATTCAACCATATTTTATACATAATTTTGCCCTCTACCTGGCCATTTTGCTTTGGCCTACCATTCTCCATTACTGAGTATTTATCTGCACTTTACTGTATTCTATCCTGTAACATTTTACAAGCTGAAGAGATATAAATATGACTTACATTTATCAGTATGATCAATTTAACTTGTGAATTTATCTTGTTGCTTTATTTAGGTTTTTTGTTTTGATTGAACTTAGAAAAGACTCACTTGCCAATTTTCTTTTATAAACCACAACTGGTATAAAGTTCTCCTTGTGACTCCATACACTTCAGAAGTATAGTTCGAATATTGTATTTGAATTAGTATGTAATACTAATTCATTACATTTACATTACAATTAAGCCTAATATTTCTTTCCTCCTTCCCACTCTGCTTTATGATCCAGCTATACCAAAGTACTCTCTTGTCTTTGAAGAGCCACCTATTTTTACTGTAGCTCACTTTGCCTATAGGCCCTTTTATTCACCCCCAAAATTCTTTTTTTTTTGTATTTTAAAGCAAAAATTTTTAATGTTTATGGAAGCTACATGTTTGTCTTGAATTAAATTGGGGGAATCTTCTTTGTTCTACTCACTGAGACTCAGGCTTGAAAACACATCTCAGTCTAACATGGGCTTCCATGATCAGGTCAGCAGAAGAAATGGGGGTGGGGAACTCTGGAAGGTCTTACACCAGCAATTTAATAATCTAGCTTGGAAATGACCCACATCATTCATGCTCTCTGGTCTCAGAGTTTCACCTCTATAACTGGGAGCCTGGAAATTTAGTTGCCCATGTTCCCAAATGGAAGAGATAACTGGATTTCAATGGGTAGCGGTAATAAGTAACACATTCTGCTAATATGTTTATCAAATACTTTGTTTACTCTCTTATACACATAAGAACGATATGCACTCCTCTCCGAGGATCACACCCCAAAAGTCCCAATTAGACATGACAATGAGAACTATTCCTTCAGTGTACTTTTTGCTGAGGCATTTTTTCCCCAACCAACAGAATTGACTATTAGGAGGTTTTTTTGTTTTGTTTTGTTTTGTTTTGAATTTCTTTTCAGCGTAACAGTATTCATTGTTTTTGCACCACACCCAGTGCTCCATGCAATATGTGCCCTCCCTAATACCCACCACCTTGTTCCCCCAACCTCCCACCCCCTGTCCCTTCTTACTTCTGTTTCAAACCCAAATGACACCTTCCACTTGGTATTACTCATGTTTCACTGAGCTTGTATTCAGATTTCTGTCACACTGCTTAGTTTAGAATATCATTTCAAATCCAAGAGAAGGAAGTTGAACTCACATGACATAATGAGTAGGCATTCAGTAGGCAGAGCAGAGATGAGAAAATGATAGAAGGGAACCTATAGAAATGGGAAGACCAGTGGCAGATACCCCAAAGACTCCACAGTCTAGTCTGAGTGTAAGAGACAGTTTGAGAATATAATGGAAAGATAGCTTGGGTCAGAGCATGTAGACCATGAATGCTACATTGGGAGGTGGGCTTTATCCTTCAGGAAAAAGGACTTGGAGATTCTGACTAGAGAATTTAAATGAAAATGTTGTTTGAGGAAGTTGGGAGTCCTTTTCTTATTGCAGAAATTCATTGCTTAAGCCATGGTTTCTTTTGAGAACTCATCCTAAATAAAATTATCACTAATATATCATGTTTTATAATTGTTTAGGATGAAGTCAGATTCGTTTCTTCAGGAAATGCCAAATGTAATTAATATGCCTCACAGAGACCACATGGTCAATGATGGCCAGGGCATTCTTCCCCTCAATTTAGAAAAAGAAAAGCAGAAAAATATGAAGAACCTAAGTACCAATGTGCTCCAAAGCAATTCTCTGAAGACATGTGAACTTGATACAATTGATCTGCAAAGAAATGAAATTCCACCACTTCCTCCTCCAAGAAGCACATCTCGAAATTTTCCCAGCTCCTATTCTGAAAAAGCTCATGAAAGTTTGAAGGAAAATTTAGATCACTGCAGCCACGTGGCCCAAGAGGGTCAAGATGAAAGGAATTGCAGTTCTCATTTCCTTTTGAGGCACAATGAGATGCCTATCCTGTGTCTAAATGAAGGCAAGACTTTGAAAGATGGTATCATGTCTCCATCTTTGGCCCCCAAAGCCAAAATAGGTAACAAGCCTTCATGTAATGAAAATGTTGGACTTAGCATGTGGTTGTATGACCCTGGGATCAGTGCAAAAAATAGTCCCTCTCCATTGTGGTTTCAGAAAACCTGCTTGACTCCCAATAAGCCAAAGTGTGAAAATATGGTTCCAGATCACCCTACTAAAGCTCATCCTGATCTGCATATAAGCAGTGACTATAGCTCCTTGGTGACAGAGAGCAGCGGCCCACTTAAAAGTTTCAGTTGTGGCTTTAAGAAGACAACTAGGAATGAAAAACTGGCAGCAAAGACTGATGAATTTAACAGAATCGTATTTAGAACAGATAGAAATTGTCGGGCAATACAGCAAAATCAAAGCTACTCAGAATCATCTGAAGATCTTAAGCCCTGTGATACCTTAATTACTCATACAGGTAACATCTCAGAAAATGACAATGTGTCTGATATTCTGAAAACCAGTGTTCACGTGCCTGTGCCCAAAGAAAATGTGCCTGACAATCCCACCACAATATCCACAACAGGCCTCGTTAAACAAATGCAGGAACACATGAGCACCAGCAGTTACCGCAATATGCTCCAAGAGCATGACTGGAGACCCAGTAATTTGTCTGGTCGGCCAAGATCAGCTGATCCTAGGTCAAATTATGGTGTTGTGGAAAAGCTGCTGAAAACCTATGAGACATCCACAGGATCTGCATTGCAAAATTCTAAACGCATCCAAGATAACTGGACCAGATGTAATGCTGATGTCAGCAGTGGGCCCACGTTAAGTCAGCATTTAGAAATACTTCAGTTAGAACAAGAGCTTCAGCAAAAGCCAACTATGTGTGGAGCACAGCAAGTGAAGCAAGGAGTAGACTGGAGAAAGATAACAGAGGTGAGAAAGCAATTAACGTGCGTTGGGAGGACTGTGTCTACATGCAGCAGTGACTCAGAGTTCAGTCAATGGCCCATTTATATAAATAGAATGTAGGCACATGGTTTGGCATCTTCTTAATTTCTTGACCCTTTATTTGTGAATTAGTGTAAATTTTAGGATTGTTAACACAAACCTCTTAAAATACGATTTTTAAGACTGCGAATAGTACCTTATAACTTTAAAATTTTGAAATGGGACAACATAAATAAAATAAGTAGAACCAAGAACCTCAAGAAGATCCAATGTTTGCTGTTTCTTTCTTGAAAAACCATTCCAAATGTGCATTTATTGGTTTATAGAATTTTATTCTTTTAGTGTTTATAGTTTTAAAAGAGTATTGGAAATATTTTAAAAATAATTTCTTGCACTTTTCAGTTGTTGGCTATGATTGGTTCAGTCATTCCCAACATTTGATTCATGTTTTTTCTCATGGGATTAGTCACATGGATGTGACTATGGGTCTAACACATTGTAAAATAATGCTTTATAAAGTTCTCTTTTTTTGTGTGGAGCAGAAAGGCGGTACATGGAAATAAAATATTATAGCTTAAAAATTTTTAAGGTCATTCTTATTGGTGTAAATTCCTAACATGAAAATTGTCCCCTCCCAAAAAAGTACTTAAACTGTTATTCTTTTTTTGTTCCAGTCTGTTTGCAAAAGGATATAGTTTTCCTTAGCTATAGGAGGAAAAGATAGTTGAAGAGATTGGTATTTATAACAAAGAGCTATCCAACAATCCCTTTTTATGCATAATTTACAAAAAGTTACATGGTGACATGTTGTTATAATTAGCTAATATTTCAAAAAATCATACTTTTGCAAAATTCAGTGTGTATGCAATATAGTCTTAAGCTATGCAGGTTGCCTTCTTCTGGTGTAAAATAAATCATTTTTATGTGGCTTTCAACCTCATAAAAATACCAGTTTTTATCCATTTTACCAGAAACCTTGCCTATTTGTACAAGGTACAAGTAATTACCCTGGTTTTGTATTTCTCCATTTTTTAGTTGAGTCCATAAATACCTGGGAGGCCTGTAAGCTTCAGATGGCAAATGGAATCACGTATAAGATAAATACTCATCAGCTACATTTTTGCATTGGTTGTTGGGGTCCTCTACCATAGATTCTTCAAGTGTAGTTTTGCATCCCCTCCCCAACCTGTGGGAGCAAATCTAAAAAAAAATAAGATTCCAAAGACAGAAAAAGAAATTTCAGGTTATTGTCATAGAAATAGAGGCCATCCTCACTACCTGTTTCAGATGAAAGAGCACAGGGTTTGTTGGGAAAGTCAATAATAATACTGGTATAAAATGTGTAGTGGAAACTTTTTTTTTTTAAACTACAAGGGTCTAAGAATGTTTTTCTTCCATTAAAATAGAAAGAAAAGAAAGAAGAAATGAAAGAAAAGGAAGGGACAGGAAGGAAAAGGTTTTAAGTCATCCAATAATGCCCAATATAGATAATGATTCTGTATTAGCAATGAAGTTATATTTTGAAATATTTTAGTGACAATTTTGAAACTTTTGAGAAGTAGTAATAGTGGTTCTTGGTGGGGAAAAAAAGCATCAGATAAATCGTTCGGTGATCTGTGTGCCTTTTGCTTATGACCTCTGAAAGTGCCAATAACACATAAATGAGCACAGTTTCTCTTATAAAATATTATCTTTTTGTTCTTTAATAACACTAAACGATCCTAATGTCCCACTAATAAACACATATAGTTCCATCTTCAAAGTTATCTAACACAAATTTTTGAATCCTGAACTCATAATTAGTCGTAAAAAGAGATCAATTGTATTAAAATGTGGCAGTGTGAAAAGATCTACAAGATTATCAAATACCATATTCCTCATTAAAAGTGAGATGCTTTTGATTCAAGACCACAAATATTAAGCAATCACCTTCTTCAGATATCCTTGCTGTTACTTGCTTCTAAATAGGTTAGTCCATCACCCCTGAAGTTGGGATCCTTAATATATTAATATATTCTCAATTGTTGGTGCTTGTATAGTGAGATGGATGTCTTCCTTTGTCTCTTAGGAATCCATGGCAGTGAAATCTTCGCATGGAAAAGGATTTTCCCGACCGGCTAGACCAGCAAATCGCCGTCTCCCTTCCAGATGGGCCTCAAGATCTCCATCAGCGCCCCCTGCCGTGCGGAGGACTGCCCCCAGCTATACCATTTCTTTGAGATCCGCAGCATCAATGGTCTGAGTCTCTGGCCTGGATTGCTAGATGACAAAAGTCCTAATTGCCAAACAGAGCATTCCGAGTGTTTACAGCCAATCCTGTCTCTTCTCTGTCTTTCAAGATCACTGGGACAAACGATTTCAATCTTAACTTCCCATCAGTCTTCAGTGTTTTTAATCTATGGAATAATTATCTTCCTGTATTTTGATTTCTTAGATCAGAATTTTTTAATGCCATCCTCATTAATTTGCCAATATGATTTTGAGTTGAAACAATGTACTATATTGTATATTCGAACTTTCTTGCAAGTAGCAGAAAGCAAGGTTATGTGCATGGCCATGTGTTTGTAGATGCATGTGTTGCAATGAGAAGTATCCTAGTATGTATTTAGATAAGAAAAACATATGTGCTAGTGTTGACTTTGAAATTATAACCTGTATACCTATGTATCTTTCTGTTTATTTAAAATTTTTGAAAATATACAGTACTATTTATATTTTGTATACCTTTTAATAGGTATCCACTTAAGGCATTTGAGGTAAATATATTAACTGATCACTTTCTGGGCCCCAACTACATTGAAAAATAAGAATTATACACATTAATAACATTTGGTAGATTTCTAAATACAGCTCATAAATAGTTTCTTAACTGACATAAGGATGGGCTAATACCATAGATTTCCTTGTTTACTCTCTTAAATAAATAAAATTGTCACAGGTTTAATAGTTCAGGCTTCTAAAGCTAACATAAAATGTTCACAAAAATCTTTTGTATATCATTCGGTAGTCTATTATGGCTTTAACTGAGTACTTGATCCCCAGAGCCATTATTATGAGACAGCCTTAGAAACAACAGGACTTAAAAATAATCTTATTTTGTCAACTTCAGTAACAAATAATCCTTAAATAGGATATGAAAAGAAATTCAGTTATGTTGAATTCTAATTTTTTGTTAAATTGTATAGCTTTTAGTTAAGCTCCTTTATTTGAAGGCATATTTAGAGGTAAGTCATTTCCTTTTCCTTTTTTTTAACTTTTCCCCAAAATTAGAGGACAAAAACTAATTTGCTTTTTTAATTAACAAAAAATATTAAGAATGGTATTTGATTGAGAGGTGAATTATAATATATTTCTTACAGTTTTTACATAAAAAAAGCCTTAAACTAAACCTTGGCATCCATGAGTAGCATAAGAACAGAAATGTGTATTTTGGCCACAATTTGCATCCAGTGAACACATAAGATCTATATTGAGAACTAAAAGAAGTATGAATGTTGAAGTGCTTGGATTTTTATATGGAAGATCTTAGAAGTAACTTTGCTCTCCATTGTCTCTCTATAAAATCAACTTTGGTATTAGATATGAATTCTATTTAAGCTTTTCTTTATTACCAGAAAGGTTGAGAAAGTCTAGTGACATAAGTATTCAAAGACCTTCTTCTTATGATGTATTTTAACAATTAAGAGAAATTCATTGCATTATACATCATGATCTGAGGTAAAGTAAATAATTTCTAAATCCCAGACTGCCTTAAAAGGCTCAAGACTGTTTGTTGTGTGGTGATAGACAGATTCATGTTTTCCAATAAGGAGAGTTTATAGGAAGGAGTTGAGATGAATAAAATGTCTAGAGTATGAAGCTGGAGCAGATGATAAGTAACGGCTAGAGACCCACTCTTTTCTGGAATAGTTTGAGGAGAATAGGTATAAACTCTTCTTTAAATGTTTGGTAGAATTTGCCTGTGAAACCATCTGGTCCTGGACTTCTGTTTGTTGGGAGTTTTCTGGTCACTGATTTAATTTCTCTGCTGGTAATTGGTCTGTTCAAATTTTCTAGTTCTTCCTGTTTCAATTTTGGTAGCTTATATGTTTCTAGGAATTTACCCCTTTCTTCTAGGTTGTCCAGTTTGTTGGAATATAGTTTTTCATAATATTCTCTTAAAATTGTTTTTATTTCTGTGGCATTTAGATCCACGCTCTTAATTCTCGTTTCTTTCAGGAATATCCTTTTCCATAGGAAACCTATCAGAGAAAAGTAACCTAGACACCAAGTGATGTCACTTACATCATATGCTTTTCATCTAGAAGGGTGGGGAGGAAAGGGAAGTGGTGGTGTACAAGGATGGACCCATTAGGAAGGTGCTGCTGTGTTACACTGGAGAGATTGCTCAAGAATTGGGCAACATACCTGCTTCCCTCCATCACTGTATCCCAGGTAGTCTGAAATGGATCTATGTTTCCTACCTCTAACTAAAAGTCAAAATATTGAGGATCTCTTTTCAAAAATTAGATTCCTGATCTCATCCCATAATTACTAAAGCAGAATTTCCAGGGGTACACAGGGGGATCTGGAGTCTTTAATAAAACAATAACAACAACAACAACAAAAAGAAAGCAAACATTTGATGATTAAAGAGATTTGGAAGCAGTGACTTTGATGGATGCCCAAACAAATGAGCATCATTGGGTAGTCATGTTACTTCCCTGGGACTTGATTTTATTACCTGTAAAATAAAAGGGTTATATTATCAGGCATACAATTTTAAGTCACCTTTTCTATTACTATTTGAATGAAACATGAGACACATTTTAACATCTTCCTATGTCGACTAAAATCTCATAGAATATTAGAGTTGGAAAAAAGAAAACTTAGTATCTAGTCCAATTCCTTGATTGTTAAGATGAAGAAACTAAAGCAAAGATTATTGAAATATTCTGTTTTCTCTTTTAAAATATTTTATAATTTTTTATGGAAAAACCTATCAGGTAAATGGAAATTATCCTTCAAAAATATTTTTTTATGTATTGTGATTTTTAACTGGTAGTTTTTCTACTTTGGATGGGCATTTTCTTCCCAAAGCATACCCTTCATTCTGCTGGATTGAAGACATTTGTAAACATTTCAGAAATATTTGATTAGAAACACTTGTATTAATAGAAGCTTTGCTGAGCAGACTTTTTGGTGGGAAACCGCTTATGTTATTTCAAGTGAGGAATCTGATCTCAGAAAGTAATAAGAACAAGGCAGATAAAGTGCTTGAGTTTTTGTGCATGTGTGTGTGCGTGCATGTGTGCTTGTGTGTGTGCGCGCATACAACCCTTGCACGAGTTCTCTATGTTGCCTTATCACCAAAGCCAAATATAAAGATGTAAGTTATGTTTGCATAATTCACTTATTGAAAATTAACCTTAACTTTCATTTGTTTTTACATAGACAATGAAGATGATTAGCTATATCATGCATGATTTACCTCTACAGAGAGAAGGTAACCAGACTCCATGTCATCTTGAGAAAATATGTGGACCTAAGAAAGAGAATATGCTTCCCTGCAGAGATTTTTTAAATTATTTTTAGGCACATTTGCTGACAAACAGCTACTTGATATTAGAATCTCCTCCAGTGATTGGAAGTTACTGAATTAAATAGGTGTGGAGACACGTGTTGTGGCATGTCTGTACATTGAGAATATTTTGATTTTCCTCCTTTCCTATAGCAGTCTCCAGGAAAGCTAAAAGTTTTATGAAGTCTAAAATCAAATATGTCCACAGTTCAGCCTAGCTTCTCCTAAAATATCTCTACATAATAAAATCTAAAAGCCTGCATGAATTCCTGCACTTAGCCACACATAACCCCAAATAGCTTCTCATACCCTGATAGCCACTCTGCCCATTTAAACTGTTTATTGAATCTGATTAGTATTTGTTTGAAAAAAAGGGTACTCCTCTGAAATTTGCCTTTACATGTGAAGTTAGTTTAATTATTTTAGGTAGACTCAGATTTCTATTATAGTGTTATTTTGCTTCAAATTCTGCATGTTTCTTCTTAAGTAGCAAGTATCTTTATTAGAATGTGCAACTATGACTTATTGTTTGATAGAGCCCAGAATATGCTCTCTCAAAAAATGGGCTTCATAAAGTAAAAAATTAAAACAAAACAAACAAAAAACAAAGTTGGAGGAGGCAGCTTTTAGGCAAGTGTCTAGTCAACATTTTTTACTGTAGGAATTTTTCTTATCATAGAAAATAATTTTCATTCCAGTGGGAAAAAGTAAAAATATCTGATACATATTGCGATGATCTTTCGAGTCCAACATGTATGATTGGCAAATTCTGGAAAAGAAGTTCTGCTTATATGAAGCTATGATGAAGTCTAGAAATAAAGTCTAGAATAGCAAGGATCATAAAAGTCATGCGAAACAATCCTGAAACTCAGAGGTCTGTATGACGGCCAAGGTTATAAGGATGGTCACCACAGTAGGCTCCAACACCAGTGTTTGCCTCCCTGTATGCCTGCGTGCATCTATGACTTGATGGTTTGCAAAGCACACTTACATACCTTGACTTGTTGACTTCTTCCAACAAACTTCAAGGCAGCCTTTGTGATTTCTAATTACAGATGGAAAAAACAAATAACCAAGATAATAAATATTTCTCGAGATAATACTGAGAAATAAATAGGTGGGTCTATGAAATCCTCATTCTGACACTTTTCCAAAAAAAGAGGAAGAGGAAGCAAAGAGTGAAGTTCTTTTTCACTTACATTTTATGCATGGCAAGTTGTTTATTTTGATTTCGTTGAGAGTTTCCCTTAATTTTGCCTTTCAGTCTTCTTAACCAAAGTTCTTCATTTTTATATGGTTTCAAAAGATTATTAAAGTCATGAAGAAGGCTCACTTTACCAAAATATGTTTCTTTCTTTTGGTGCCTATGCTCTGAAATTGTGTAAATTTTGTATGTGGGCCAAAATCTTGAAGGTAAACTGATTAGTAGCCAAAGCAATCCTCATCTGTAGTACCAAGTGAATCCTGATCTCCTCACCCTTCAAAAGAATCACAGAAAATTTTCATACTATATGGCTTAAATGTATTCCAGAATAAATGAGAACATTTCCCTTGGAACTTGCAGTTATTTCCAATTTATAATCTTACTCCAAAATAAATTGTATCTGCCAATTTCCTTTTGAGGCTTTATTCTCCAATTAAATTATGTACTTATGTAATTTTATAAAAATCATTAAACAAATTCAATGTAGCTGTTTGGGATCTGCAGAGTTTTCTTTCTACATAACGTCATTCAGCCTCAAGATAATGCTAAATTTTCTAACCTCAATTATATATTTTAAACTTTGCACAAAATTTTGTGTTACAATTAACCCAGTTAACAGATTCTCTAAATTAATGATCTCTAGAGTGAAATAGTTAATGCACAATGAATGCCAGAGAACCATTTACCTTATTTTTTAAAAGAAGTTACATGTTGGAGTAAAAGGGAGCAATAGTTGCTATATGCTAAAATTCGGGAGGTAAATTATGGGGAATAAAGGTTCTTTCTGGGAGATCCCAGGCAAGGAGAGAGGAGCTAAGACTAAGCATGTCACCTTGTTAAAAAAGAAGCGAGTGGGAGCATAGCACAGGGTGCCAAAGCTAGATGAATTCATGACTTAGTTCA